GGGGGGGGGGGGGGGGGGTAATAAGGAAGAAGCGTATGATTCTCCACAATTTTTGCCACAGTATCATCTTGTATAGCTGTAGGGATATTTTGAATATTTGTAATTTATTTTTTATATATGATTTCACAACTGTAATTATTGCCTATATAATCAGAAGTTATCTCCTCCAATTGGCAAGGAGAATTTCAGCCATTCCATTGTTTGTCAAACACTTTTAAATACTCTCCCTCAACAGTGCAAGAAAAGATAGCAAACATCTTCCTTCTCTATTTTAACAAACTCTTTAAAAAGTAATTTGAGAATACTGTTAAAACAGTTAAATAAAGGAAAAACCTACAAAAATCTTTCTATCGGCCTCTCTTATATAGCTACAATGTGCACATCCTTAATAAAGCATGTCAATTTTATTATTCCAAATCACAATGTACATAAACATAAGCATAATCACATGTACAGTCATGATTCAGCAGTGAAGCCATAAAACTGGGAAAATAGCTTTTTCAAGGAAAAAATCTAGCAAATACAAACCTTTTTGGAACCAAAAATATCGTCTTCATCATCGTCAAGATCTCCAAAGCTTCTCTTATTAGCTAATAAGCCAAATACCCAACAATAGATATTGAAATAATAAGTATTTACAACAAGGAAACATTTTTACTAAGCTACATTGAACGATTTAAAAAACCTGGCCGCCTCGAGCTGTTGCCTCCTGAGAAATCGCCTCCAAAATCATCGTCCTGTGATTTTTCAAGACCGTCGTACTTAATAAAAACTAAAAATCAACGAATAAGTCAATACAAAACTGGAGTGAGAAACAGTATTGAGATTAAGAACGGTTACGTCGTCGAGATGATCGTTTGATGCCATTGGAATTGAAATCTGAATTCAAAACCCTAGTTTACTCAATTTGAAGGTTTGTGCTTGGCCGTTGGGGGTGGCAAGGGCGAAATCAGGCGTGAAAAAAGGGGATTTATTTATTTTTTTTTTCAAATATAAAGGTGAGAAGTTAGGAAGGGTTAATTCCACTAGAGGACCTCAATCTTTATTCTCCGTTTTGTACCCATTTTTGTAAGAATGAGAATGAAAAATATAATCGTTATGGAACCCATACAAAAAATAAAAAGTCAAATATAGTGGTTTGGTGTAATGAATAACGATCATATTTTTCATTTTTATGATCAAAGAATGGAAA